ATGGGTGGTGAATACACAATGCCTTACTGTTGAATTGTATACCTGAAACTTACTGGATTTTGTAAACCAATGTCACCATAATAAAATAAATAAATAAATTATTTAAAAGAAAAGATGCTCAATATTATTAGTCATCAAGGAAATGCAAATAAAACAATAGTGAGTTGAATGGTGGCCTCAAAAAGATATGTCCACACCCTAATACCTGGAACCTGTGAATGTGACCTTATTTAAGAAAAGGGTCATTGCAGATGTTTTTAAGGACCTTGAAAGGAGATCATCCTGGATTACCCAGATGGGCCCTAAATCCAATAACAACTGCCCTTTTAAGAAATGGAGAGAAGACACAAGGAATCAGAGGAGGAAGCCAAGAGAAGATGGAAGTAGAGATTGGAGTCATGCAGCCACAAAACAAAGAACACCTGGAGCCAGCATAAGCTGGAAGAGGCAAGGAAAGATTCTTCTCAAGGGCTTTGGAGGGAGCACCGCCCTACTGACTCCTTGAATTTGGACTCTGGTCTCCAGAATAATTTTCCATTTGTTTTTTTTTTTAAGCTGTTAAAATTGTGATAATTTGTACAGCAGCCACAGAAAACTAATATACCATACAACCCAAAAATTCCACTCCTTGATATATACCCAAGAGAACTGAAAATATGGCCAGACGAAAACATGTCCATGAATATTCAAAACACCAAAGTGCAAACTCAAATGTCCATCAATGAACAAATAAATGGATAAACAAATTGTGGTACATCCATACAATGGAATATTATTCAGCTGTAAAAAGAAATAAAGTACTGATATATGTGACAAGTTGAATGAGCCTGGAAAACATGCTAACTGAAAAAAGCTAGTCACAAAAGACCATATGTCCTATGATTCCATTTATATGAAATGAAGGCAAATTTATACCAACAAAAAGCAGACTGTGGTTGCCTAGGGAGTAGGTGGAGGAATGAGGTGAGTGAGGGGACTGGGGATGGGTAGTGAATTGTTTATTTATTAGAAACAATGAATATTTATGAATGATACTTATTCTAGATCTATCCTACTATAACCTAGACAGTATACCTAATAACCATGAAAAGCAAGCTCTAAAATGTATCATTAACCTTAGTCTTTGATGCCGTGTTCTAAGTACTGCCTCCTTGTAGATTCATGTGTGAAGTTCCTAGTCACAGTTGTAAATCCTAACCCTTTTCCTTAGAGGAAACACTTAGCACCTAACAGTTTCCTCTTCTTATCTACCCTCATTCTACCCACTTCAAGGCATATGGACTCATGGAAATTGCATAATCCATTCGTTGGAGATTGACTGATAAAACCTAACCTCACTTCCTGAGAAGCTTCACCATGTGTCATTTTCTTCCAGTGTTTCTTCACTCTGAACAGTCTAACACAACAGTCAGAGTTCTATTTAAAATGATTCACTGTAAGAGATGGCTTGTAAAAATGAACCATATCTAAAAGTAGAGACTCTTTTGGTGGCTGGGGACAGAGCCAGAGGGTGACATCATAATAACAAGCCCACATGAAGGAAGGCTCACCTCTGCCTGCTCTCACACATGCTCAGAGGCCAGTTTGGCTGAGATCTAGAGCCCAATTGGAATAATTCTGATGACCTTCTCAGTTTGACTTTAGGGGTTGTGCTATAACTGAGGTTATAGAGCAGGGAATGCATGGGAATTAAGTGTACTGCAGTCACGCACAACTCACTCCAGTCTGAACATCCAGGTCAGTGAAGGGGACCCAGCAAGGACTAAACCTCGGTATAACTCTGCTGCAGGCTGCAGTCACCGTAGGCTTTAGCTACTTTGCAGTCCATTCTTCCATCTGTCTCTTCTGAAGCCTGTTCAGTAGAGCTGACCTGTTCTATTCCAGATCTGGCCAGAATCATTGATTTAGGCATGGGCTTCTCACCCAGGCAGGTGAAATGAAACCCTCACTGGAACCTCTTAGGAAAGGGACACCCCTTTCCCTGGTGGTGTTGGCAGGGAGTAAGAGTGCACTGGCTTGGAGGAAGGCAGCCTAAGACTCAGTCTATTTCTAATGCTTGGCAGCTATGTGTTCTTGAGCCAACTATTTAACCTTTTGGAATCTCAGTTTCCACATCTATATAATGAAAGTAATATTATAATATTAAATTGAATTATGTAAGACACAAGCTCAGTTCTCAGACCAGAAGAGTCATTCAACAATGATGCCATTTTGGAAAGAATGCTGGGAGGAGCCTCTGGCATGGGGAAGTAACTTGTCCAAGGACATTGATGCAACTTTAAAATTTCTCATCCTTGAACCTTTCTGGCCTAGTTTATACTTGCATTTCTGCTGCTCTTTAGACGAATGAGTATTATAAATGCAGAAAATTCATGTCTTTCACTATTATGATGAATTATCTCACTTTAAAAAGTACCTACCAGAATCTGTTGATGCTGTTTTTCTACTTGATAGCCTCCAAAATGCAGAATGCCAGGTTTTGCTTGTATGACCTTATTATTCAGAAGTTTTGCATAAATCTCTACGAAGACAATGTAGATAAGTACATCATGAGATGAAACATAAAAGAAGATATTAAAGGAAATAATCTTATTAACTCGGGCTCTCTTTAATTTAGGATATTGTAAGCATATGAGAGTTTCAGACAGAGGATATAGCTGTCAACAAGATTAATGGTCTGTTTCAAATGAACTGTACTGCCTCTACTGTTACATATCATTTGAGAGATATCACAGTACGAATTCAAGTGTATTGTTTATTACCTATTAAAATAATTTGTTCTTCATATTTTGTACAAGTCTTTACAATAAAACATAAGTTCATAAAGTGCACACACCCTGTCTTTGCTCTATATAACACTGTGCTTACTTATTATGCAATGAATGCCCAGTTCAAAGATTCTAAACACTAAGTGATGAATTTTATTACTGTGTATTTAACTGTTATTATTTGACTTCCTTTGACTAGAATTACAATATTACATAGAGCAATCTTAAAGTTCTAAATAATGATCACTCTGGATAGGAAAGTCTCAAACTTTTATTGTTGTGATATAAACATTTTTTTTTTCAGTCTTAAGAACAAGGTTAAAACAGCTGAGCTCACAAAAATGTCCAGGTCTACAAAGCTTTTCTCAGTTCTTCATGTAGGCATGAGCTGAGATGTGGGGAGAAGGCACTGAGAACCCACTACACAATCGTTTCCATGCCTCCTGCTTCATGCCAGAAATACATTTGTAATCCTCACTCCAACTCTCTGTAGTAGGTATTATTTCCATTTTGCAGATGAGGGAGCTGAGACTCAATGAGATTAAGCAACTTGCCCACGGCTGATAGTTAAAAATCAAGCCCAGCTCTTTCTGATTCCAACCATTAGACTGCCTTCCTCAACATGAATGCATTGTCCAGTTCTTTACAAATGATCACCTTTCAACTTTGGCTATACCCCAGTCCTGTGAGCCACAGACACCCTTACCCATCCCTTAGCCCATTGTGATTCTAATGTATGTCTGAAGTGAGTGTGAAACATTTTGTGTTTTTGCTCCTCACCAGGTGAGCTGTTGCCATCATCAGCTTTGAGACAAACTGAAGAGCTAGAATGGAGTTAGGGTGGTGTTTCAGGAAGATTGACCATCTTTGCAGTCATCTGGCAATTTCTTAAGTATTGAAATTCACGTTACTTGGTAATTTTTTTTAATGCTGAAGGTTTTGTTTTTATTTTTAGGGTCACAAAATAAATGTAAACAAGCACTTTTCTGCTAATGCCCAGAAACAGTCAAGTATATTAATTTGCCCTCAACAAGCTCTACTGTGACCAAAATGTCACACCAAAATACATTTCCAGATTTGCGATAGGCCTTGAAATATGAGTGGAAAGCAAACTAGTGTGATGGTAGAGAACTGGACATGGGGCTGCAATAGCTGAATACTAACTCTCCACTTATTTGTGCCACCTTGGGGAATTCATCTAGCCTCTCTGTCTCAGCTTCTCCAACAGTAATATAGAAAGAGAACGTTAATGTTGTGCGAATTAAGCAAAAATAATGTATGCAAAATGATTAGCTTTTTATATAATAGCTATAGGATTTACCAGGTGTTTCAGGCTAGGGATGGGCATGGGAAAAGGCAAGAAGGTGTAAAATGCACATGGTCTTGAAGGAGCAGGAGCAGCATGGTGGGGCTGGAGTTGGGGATGAAAGGTGTCCGACATGGGGATGACACTGGGTGGGCAGGTTTGAATCAACAGCCAGTGGGGCCAAATGCCAAATGAAAGTTGTAATTTTATTCTGTATGTAAGCAGAAACCACTGAGATTATTCCAGCAGGATAGGGATGGGAGCCAGCCAGGATTCTACAAAAGAAACTGAATGTGATGAGGGTAGAAAGCACTACAATAGTTCTGGTGACCTGCTGAGGATAAGGAACAAGGCAGTGGGGACATACAGGAAAGATATTTGAGGATGTGAGAGCAAAAGAACTTGGTAACTAATTCATACCTCAAAAATCTTCAGGATGGATCTAAATAGAACCATTGTTCATTCATTCATTCATTCATTCATTCATTTTTTTAACCCTGCCCCCTTCCACCCCTGACCTACAAATGTTGCCTTCTCCCTTTAAAAACTAGATCTCTGAAGATGGGGTGTCTCCTCCCACCTCTAGTGGTGCATACTCGAAGCCTGGTGCACCTGGGGCCTGGCGCACCTGTGGGGCCTGGTGCTCCTGGGGTATGGACCGTGGCTCCACTGGGGCACGAACTCAGGACCTTCTGCATATAAAGTAGACGTGCTAACCACTATACTATGGAACCAACCCTAAAACCATTGTTCTTAATAAAAACTATTATGATCCTATAAAACAATATAGATAAATCACTACCAAAAGTTCCACTATGCTTTCTGGACTTTGGATTCTCTAGGAAGATGTGAGTTGTAAAGAAAATCTGTTTCTAACCACTTACTTGATTCTAGGAGGTGATTAGGCACTTCTCTTCTTTTCTTGGGCTCGTCCACTAGGCTCCTCAAAAGGAGGGGTGATACATCATTAAATGGTTCTTCAGCATTCTTTAGTTCTCTGCTGGGGGTTTTCACCGCTGCCATTTTATCATGAAAAATGGAGTTTTCTTTTTAGAGCCAAAGGTCATTTCCTACGAAGAAAACAGTAGCAGTTTAATCATCCACAAGAAATCACACACATTCTTTTCTTAGTCTTTGACAAATGTTCCTCTTATCATTGTGTGGTTTACTGTGGTTCAGGCCCTCCCTGCCTCGTCTCTCTGCTGGCCACTCCATTCCCACAAATGGTTGTCCCATTAATCTTCTTACATCACACATCACAACCCAATATCATGCCGTTGTTCAAAACCCTTCTGTGGTCTTCCTCAAGGGCTTTTCCAAAAATATAGTCCTAAGATGCTTCTTGAGCTATTAGTAGGGGCATAGAAGGGGGAAAAGGCTCTCACAACAGAATGAGTTTGGAAAATGTTGAAATAAACAATTTAAACAGGCATCTTCATTCTGAGATTTCTGCAAATCAGTTTCTTAGATATGACCATGAAACCCTTTAATATATGGAGATGCTGTTTAAAGAGCACTGGCATTTATGGGCCATCTTCCTGGACCCCTCTGTAGGGCAATGAGGAGGTGAAGAAGCTATGAACCTCTTCCACTGCCACTGGGTCTTTCCTAGGATCTCTGTCCTAGGACCAAGTGTCCCAGTTCATGTCATACCTTTTGTCAGATTGGCCTTCCCTTACCACAGTCATTTTAAGTTCCACCTTCTTTATAAAGTCCACACTGATCCCAATACCCTTTAACATTCTTTAGCAATTACTGCCTCTCCAACTCATTTGGCGTTAACAATTTATTGACTTGTAATGGCACTTTACAAATCCCACACATCTGTATATCTTCCACAGCTAAGTCTCTTAACTTGGTCTTAACTTGGAGCACTTGTAGGGACTAGGGATCTACTCTGTGAAGACCTTGAAATTTGATGTAAAACCATGTGTGAATCTTTATATGCTTGGTTTTGTTTGTTTGTTTTTTGAGAAGTCTCATAGCTTTAGATTCCAAAAAAAAAAAAAAGTCTACAGCATCAAGCAAGATACAGTGACTACGCTGAAGAAGGTGCTTAATCACTTTCTGAAAGAAGTTTCTCCTTTCCCCTCACCTTCCATCCCTCTCACTAGCATCGCTGAAGATTCCCCACTCCTCCGCGCAGCCTCTACCTTACCTGGTTCATACTCCCATCCCCTCAACACCTGCTCCAAATGAACCTCTCCAGCCCCCTTTTCCTTGAAATTCCCTGCCCTTCTTCAGGTAGGTACAATAACTAAACCATTCTCACACAGGCGCTTCTTTCAGTTCACTCGCCCCCAGGGTAAACTTGTCTCTCTTTTCACACATCCCACATCCTCGGACCCCTAGCCCCATCCTCTACGGAGCAGGCCCTCCCATCCTTGCCAAACGCCTGCTGCTTCAGCGCTTCTTTATCCATCCCCTGCTAAGGGAGGGGGTTGACCGCAGACCCACGCACCAACCGCCTCCCAATTAATCCTTTAGGCCCGACCTCTCCTCCGACCCCGGCCCATGCTGACTTGCGGCTGGACACCCGCCCGGGGTTCAAGCTGCTTCAGCAGCTTGGCGGCGGCCAAAGGTGCCACCCCGGCTCCAGGTCCCAGGCCGCTCACAGTGGAGATGGTTCCCGGGCTGCAGTCGGCGGGCGCTCGCACCAGATCCGAGCGTCGCCGTGACGACGCGGACGCGCTTCCAGGGTCTGCCTCCGGACGCTACCAAATTCCCCGAGGACGTGGGGGACGGGCAGAACCGGGTCATCGCAGCGCGAGGTCCAGAGGCCGTGGGCGACTTCCGGGGACTCGGAGCAGCCTGCGGGGCCTGAGGAAGAACAGAGAGTGCAACTTATGAAGTGCGAGGCCAATGGACTCCCGAGGGGAAATGAGAAAGTCGGGAGACACCACGAACCCCGAACCTGCGAGAGCAGATCGCGGGAGAGGGGCGGGCCGAGAGGGGCGGGGCTCCCAGGCGCAGTGGGTGGAGCTTGCCCGACGGAAGATCATTTATGGACGCCCAACTTTAATATAGGTTATTTTATGTTTTCTATTATGATAAAGTTCGAACATATACAAAAGTAGTTAGAATAGTATAAAGAACCTTCAACACACACTGCAACAATTATCAAACCATGGCAATAAATAACAAGGAACCTGGCTAATTCCTACTCAGCCTTAAGATCCCTTTCTCAAAAAGGCTACACTTTCCCTGGCTTCACTTTTGTTAAAATTCATGAGAGACCTTAATCTAAACAGAAATCAGGAGGAGCTAGGGCCTGTAGGAAAAACTGTCACATTCTATGTCTTCGAAAGAACCCTACCAGAAGAACTCTAAGTTTACAACATAGCTCTATGGTTGGAACAGTTTAACTTCCCTTCTGTAAAGTACATCCTCAGTCTTCGGGTAGAACTTCTGCGTAGTTTGCCTTGGCTGCAGTTATAGGATTGCAATCCTTTCTTTTTCCCAAATCAATACTTTTTGGTGATGGAACACCTAGCCAACTTTTATTTCACAATCAATACTTTCTAAATAAGTTTCCACCCCATTATTCTCTCCCAGCACTGCAATCTTTCCCTTCAATGCCCTTAACTCAGTGTGTGACTTTAGATTGATGAGTTTGTCTCTTTGATGTCTGTCTTCCTAGACGATACATTCAATGAAGTCTGACTTATTCACCACCGTACACTCATCACTTTGCACACTGCCTGGCACATGGTAGGACCTCCAAAATATTTGTAGAATTAAGTCATTAATGAGTTATGCTTACTGAATTCTAAATATATATATATATATTAGGAATATGGTCAATATATTAATATTGTTCAACATTCAAGAAGTAAAAAATCTCCTTCCTATTCTTGTCCTTAAGCCACTACGTTCCCTTTCCCAGAGGTAACTCATGTTACCAGATTCTTATTTATCTTCCCAGGGATATGTTATACATATAGAAGCAATTATATGTATGCTCGCATGTGTGAAAAGTTGACACCCTGTTTAAAAGCCCAAATAGTTTACTCTTCTGACTCTTCTTTTTTTCACTTAAAGATATATCTAGGTGATCATTCTATAGATGTTCATGAAGTACCTCCTTTTTTTTTTATGGCTACAAATATTTTATGATTTATGTAATCGATCCCCTATTATTAGATATATAGGTTGTTTCTGACCTTTTGCTATTATAAACTATGTTGTAATGATTTATACAAATGAATACATCATTTCTACAAACTTGTACATACATCCATTTATATGCATGTGAGTATATCTGTAGGAAAAGTCCCTAAACTGAAAGTGCTAGGTCAGAGGGTCTGTGCATTTGTAATACTGATAACTATTGTCGAGTTGCCCTCAGCAGGCTTTGCATCATTTTTTTTACTCCTACCTGTAATGCATGGGCACACTTGTTTTCTTACAGCCTCACTAACAGAATATATTTTTAAAATTTTCTATTTCTACTAATCTGATGTGTAAAAATTAGTATTTCAGTATGGTCTTACTTTTTATATCTTTAATGATAAGTGAAGATGAGCATGTTTTCATATGTTTAGGAGACATTGTATTTCCTTTTCTGTAAATCCATGTCCCTTACCCATTTTTCCATTGGGTTCTTGATCCTTTTCTTAGTGAGTTGTTGGAGCTCTTTATATATCAGGGACATTAGTCTTGTGTTCTGCAATAAGAGTTGCAAAATTTTCCCCCAGTTTGTCATTTGCTGTTAATAGTTTTTGCCTTGCAGACTTTTTTTTTCATTTTAAGTCATATTCATTATGTATTGCTCCATAACAAATTGTCCCCAAATTTGGTGACTTAAAACAACTATAATCATTTACTATCTCTCATAGTTCCTGTGGGACAGGAATTCACACAGGGCACAGTAGAGATGGCTTGTTTCTTCTCCTGGTGGAAGACTCAAAAGCTGGGAAGTGGAATAGTCTGAAGGCGTCATCTGGTGGATGGTGTTAAAGCTGCCAGCTGGGAGTCTAGGTGAAGCTCTTGACCAAAATATCTGCATACATCCTGGACTTCCTCACAACATGGTCGCTGGGTTCCAGAAGAGAGCCAGGCTTAAGCAGTATTTCCTTTTATGACCTACCTTTGAAACTTGTGCAGCATCACTTCTACCTCATTTTATCAGTTGAGACTGTTACAAAGGTCCACCAGGAACATAAACTCCACCTTTTGATGGAGGAAAGTCAACATCTTAAGTGAGTACCACATTCTCTGTTCCTCTGGCATTGATTGTAGATATGAGGCTGCAGAACTGCTATAGACATCTCGCTTACAGCAAGATTAGCCTGAGGTCATCCAATTCAGAGGAGCACAGAGCCAAGAGAGCCATGGCCAACAGAGCATGAGCCACACACACTAGTCGACTCTAAAGATGCGCTATCTCTGGACTCACATGTCATGTGAGCCAATACTTATTCTTATTGCTGTTTCAGCCAGTTTGAGTTGGTTTGTCTATTTTCTGCAGCCAAATGCATCTTAATTTATATATCCAGAAAATTTAATTGTACTGAATTATTTTCAACCTGTAGCAATGCTGAAAGATGGGTATTACTCTCCCCATTATACGGATGAAGAAATTGGGGCTTAGAGGGCTAAAGTAACTTGCCCAAGGTCACATGACTAATTGATGATCAGGATGTGACCCTCATTTTGTCTTTTGTCAACATTGTTTTTTGTATGCCAGGCCAAACTGACTTATAGGGCAGAAATGTAGGGAGCCCCTGAGAGGTTGGGTGCACATGAACGTCTTTGCTCCACCCAGTGGAAGTAAGGCCATGGAGCACCATGGGAGCACCAGCAACATTATTTTTCTGATATGGTTTTATTTGTTCTCTTTTGTTTGATCTGTTTTAACCATAATGTTTAATACAAATATTCAAAAGGATACTGACAAATGGAGACGGAAAATAAGAAAAGTAAAAGATAAACTGCTTTCCTGAGAAAGCCAGCCCACATTTCCAGATTATAAACAGTAAGCCTGGGCCATAAAAACCTCATTACAATGTCAGTGTTGTGCCTTTGTACTTCAGCACTGAATAGGAAATCATGCTTGCCCTATTATTTATGGCTCATCAATAATACATTAGCTTGGAGCCCAGAAAGCTCACATTCAGGAGAGGACAGACCTTTTTGTTTGTTTTACTGAACAACTGAAGGGGCAGAGAAAGTTCATTTCATTGGCGGAGTCATTTATTGAAGGCCTTAGACCTGGACACCCAACTTCTTACTCTTTCCTTAGTGCTCTCCTCACCTTTCACCTCCTAACCAACCCCTTTGCTCAAATATTACTTTCCCAAGAAGCCTTCCTTAAATATATGTCAGAGTTCTTTCTGTTACAAGCGACAGAAATGGATTCAAAAGTGAAAAAAAATTTTTTTAAATTATTATCTATCTATCTATCTATCTATCTATCTATCTATCTATCAGAGTAGGTACTCCATAAATATTCATTGAATGAATATGCTTAATTAGTTTTCCAACAGTGTTTAATGCTGTTGGAAAAAGGTCAAAAAAAATGACATAATTTCTCGTTGGAAAAGTAATTAAAAATAAAATTTCCTGCTAACTAAATGAACCCTCTCTACAAAATGCCGAAAGGAATGAACCAGTTTTATTATTGAATGAACATTAAACTAGACACATCACCAGCAATCCACAGAGAGATTGCAAAGACAAACAGAAATCTTACCCTTTTAGATAGCCAGCCAGATACAATCCATCACACACATGCTAATTGCCTTTATCTAAAGGAAAAATAGAACTTCTCGTATATTTTCTGCAAGTGAGAAATTACAACTTGGAGCCAAGCGTCTAGCTTAAACTTTCATAGTGACAGGGAGACAGAGCACCATCTTGCTTGATGTTCAAGGCCTTCGAGCAAGACATTCTTGGGATACAAAACTAGCAAGAGCTTAATTAGCTTTTAAAATGATTTAAATGTGTCTCAAAGAGAAAGGGAAAGGATTTACAATGATAAATTTTCTAAAGGAAATGCTGAAACAAAAGGGAAAGGAGAAAAAGATCTATTTCCCTTTTGGCACAAGGAAAAGGTTTAAATTTAATTTTTGAGGGGATTTGTATTGTAGGGGAGGAAAAATCTTTTTTCCTCTACTTTTTCCCTGTAGGGGTGAGGGGTTGTAAATTCTCACAAAGAGCTAGAGTAAGACAGCTGAGGGAGACCCCTAGCTGCTCCAGCCTCAAACATTTGAGTGAGCACATCTTGAGGTGACTCTGGTACCAGTCACTGTCTGATTGCAACCCTGTGAGAGACCCCAAATGAGAACTGCCTGGCTGAGCCATGCCAACCCCCAGAACTGTGAAATGATAATAAAGAATTGCTAGTTTTCCATTGATAGATTTGGGGATCATGGGTATAAGTGGAATGGAAACAATGCAGGGCTGGGAGTCAGAAGACCAGAGTTTCAGTATGAGCAATCCTACCTCTCAGATGTGTGATCTTGAGTTATAACCTCATCAAGTCACAATTTCTTCATTGGTTAAATAAGTTTAGTAATATTTCCAAGTGGGGTCATTCTCTTTTTCTTTCATCCCTTCCAAAGCCATTTTCTATCTTCTCCATCTAGGAGATTAAATTCTATGGACAGTTACCTCCCCGCAACCCCCATCTGCCTGCCTTGTCTCTGGCTTTGGGTTGGGTTCAGCCAATGGGAGACATTGTCAGGAGGTCAGTGGATAAGAGAGAGGTCAAAGTATTTATCCCATGACCTGATGCCCTTGCCAGGCCACAGTTTTGAGAGTGGCTGCATTCCTTTCTGGTTAAGATCCTATTAGTGGCTTCTCTTTCGAGGACAGCTCTAGCTAGCTTCTGGGAATATTTCTTTCTATCATTACCCTTTGTTAAAGAAAATATTATTCTAACACTTGTTAAAATGGTAAGGAAGACTTTATTCAAGACTGTTGCAATAAAGGAGAGAGATCAAACTCAACTTAGAATACGACAAGAACAAGTGGGGATTTTTAGCCAAGGAGCAGGGTGAGGGATAAGTGGATGGAAGATTACTAAGAGGAGACCTCAAGGATGGGGGATTCTTGCTAAACCAATAGGATTTAGAAATCAAGGGTGAGAGATGAGGAGCTTAGTCAGATATCAAGGGTGATCAGATATCAGAAGTAGAGGTATTCTCAAAAACACTGATGGCAGAATTGTTGCTGAGAGTGGGTTAGGTAGGCCAAAGGCAGAAGGGGTCAAGATGGAGGCCTAGTTTAGAAGAGGACCTGACTAAAGTTTGGTCAAGAGAGTCTTTGTCACCCTTCAGACCCTTTGTTGCTAATCACTGGCACCTCACAGTCCCTTGTTGGTTCCCTTAACCCAGCCCACGCCTCTGCACCTAGATCAAAGTAGAGTTTAATGAAAGTACTCTTTACTTTCATTAGAATTTAATGAAATGAGTTTAATGAAAGTAGAGTTTAATGAAAGTACTCTTTTATTGAAAGAGTACTTTCATTAAACTCTCTTCAATTAATCCATTTGAGCGATGGTTCCTCCCTCTTCTGCTGGCCCCTGACCACTGGTCCTATATCCCACAGACTTGTTTTGAGGATCAAATGAGATGATGTGTGCAAAAGAACTGTGACAGCCCTCAGAGTTAAGGAAGTCATCTTCATGATTGAGAAGAATCCTACCTAGTACAGTGCAAAGGGCATGGGCTTTGGGTTCAGTCCTGGGTTCAAATCCTGGCCCTGTTCTTTGTTAACTGTGATGTTGGCAGCTAGCACTTATCTTCTTCAAGCCTCAAGCTCTGGATTAGTCAAGGAAAGGAATTCTTTCTTACGTAGTCTTGGAGGATCAGATATGACAACACATCCCAAATTCCTACAAGACACCCTCACACATGGCAGGTATTAAATATGTTGTTAGCTCCCTATCTCTTCCCTCTTCCCCTATTATTGTCAGGTGGGCTTTGCAAAGCTAGTAATGCATCTATGGCTTGTAAAAGGGCTTCTCACAGAGTACTTCAGACCTTTTTCTTAACACTCTGAGAGGCAGAGCCTCCCATTTAAGGAAGAATGAATGGCCTGCCACAGGCCAAAAATTTATTGAATTGCCCAGAATGTTTTGCTTTTTCAGTGGAGATCATGAAGTTCTGGCATAAAACACAGATTTTATTTTTGTATTGTTTTCTTTTTATTTCTTTCCATAAAAAGAAAAAAAAACAATACATACAGCAGTTACAGAAAATATTCAAGGAACGAGGACATCTATACAGTACAAATTTCAAGTCCTTACCTCATGCACTTTCTGATGCACATTTACGGTGCTGGAGTTTAAGCAAGGCCCAACAAGTAACATTTTTTCTTTCCAGTCCAAATCTCAAATCAATTGAGAAATAAGATTAAGATAGATATGGCCAATGTCACTTTTATTAGTGGTAACGTTGGTCTTGGAGAATGTGATTTATACTTGTGGGCAAGTGGGTTTTCTACCAGTGAACCCCAGAACTACATAGACCTTGTCACTGGTGATACTCAATCAACACAGTCAGAGCCTTGACCACCATTGACAGCCTGGCCCAGAGCAACTCAATTACAGGCTCTCTGCAGGTCGAGGTGCTGACAAAGGAGAGGGAGGGTTGGGAGGCAAAACCTCATGCTAGTTCATATCCCAAACACATCAATCATGTAGAGCTCATCTCATCTCTGTGTGTGTATGTGTGTGTGTTTGCGTTGAAGGGAAGGGCATTACTGAGGGAGTTAGAGAGAGGCCAGGAGGATTATACTTGTGGTTGCTTTCCACAAAGAAGGTAACATCAAGAATGGGGCTAAGTGTTCCCCCTCCATATACATTATCTCTCATTTTCTACTACCATGATAGTGCTTCCACAGATATTCTTGTACATCTTTCATTGGGCCCTTGGGTGAGCATTTCTATAGTGAAAGTCCCTAAAAGTGAGTTTGTGGTTATGCTAACTTTAAATTGACATGTACTGAGTATTGACTGTGGCTGAAAACATTTTTTCCTGGGAGCTGAAAACATTTTTTCCCCTTTAATTTCTGTTGCGATTTACAAACTTCACCTTATCAATCGCCTCTTCAGGTAGGAAGGCTGCCGAGGGCTACAGCATCTTACTTTAACAGCCACTTAGCAATCTGACCAAAAGTCAGTCACAGAGAATCAGAGTCCGCCGTGGTAGTGCAGATCCAGGCTCTCCCATCTGACTTCTAAGTGACATGTATCTGGACCTGTTATTGATCCTCTACCTTCTGTCAAACCTGTATAATATTACCTATCGGTTTGGGGGAAAAATTCAATGAGCTGACGTGTTTAAAGTGCCTGGGGGAAAAGTCAAGATAAAAGGAGACACAAGAGGAAAGGGAGTAGGCAGCAGTGAAGAGGAACAAAAAATTGGGTATCCAAGAGCCATCTGAGGGTTTTTGTGTGTGTGTGTGTTCAAAAGCCAAATACCATCATCCAGGAAATCTGTGCACTCAGACTCAGATTGAGCTCGCTACTGGAAATACATACGAAATGTTTAAATAACCTCCAGAGAGACCAAGAAGCACGAAGCCTCCGGATGATTCATCCTCAGCATAGTCTCAACTGTCCAAGTGGACCAGACGTTCCTGCTTGGTCCATCTGATCATCGAAGACTTCCACGGGTAATGGCGCTCATGCGAGCGAAACTTTCCAAAATGGGCCAATATAACTTTAATAGCGAAGGAAAAAAAAGTGGAAATCGGAAATAAAGTACAAGGTAGCTGCCCCACCCACAGACTAGATGCAACAGGCATTGACTGAGCACCCGCTGTCACAGGACACTAGCACAGCCTTCTTTCATCCCGAAGATGGGTGTTATTAGATGTATCGTTAGGGTTGAAAACAGTGAGGTTTAAAAAGGTGTCATAAGTTGCCCATCCGCGCGCAGCAAGGTTGTGAGAGGGCTGAGTGCTCTTTCCGGACTTGGGAGTGTTGCAGCGTCAAAAGCTAAGCCAGCGTGCCCTCTCCCGGTCTCCTCCACCCCTGGGCCGAGCCTGCAGGAGCCGGCTTCAGGCCCCCCGCGCCCTCCCTCCGCTTCCTCCCCGTCAGACTGCACGCCAGCTCCCAGTCAGCCAGTCAGGCTGGGTGGAGGAGCGCCCGCAGCGCCGCGTATTATCAATGGGCCGGGAGACTTAGCGTGCGGCCACCTGGTCGGAGGAGGCGCAGTCCCGAGGCTGCCTCGGGTTGCAGAACCATCAATGGCTCTTCAGGGCTCGGCGGCTGGCTGGAGCCGGAGACCCGGCGCAGGGAGCTGAGCTAAGGAGCGGGCGGTGAGCTGGGTTGGCCGGCCGTCGGGGCTCCCGCGGGGAGCGGGCCTAGAACCATGAGCCTCTGCTCGCCACCTCCGTCCCTGAGGCGGCTGCTGGTGCTGCTGCTGCTGCTGCTGCCGGCCGGCGCCGCGCACACCGTGAGTACCGCGCCCCTCCGCAGACAGGGGGCCTCCGTCAGGTCCACGCGGGATGGGGGTGGCAGAAGATCCCCAGATCTTCCACTGAGGTGTGGAAACCCTTACCCCAGTCTTACGCATCAAAAATCTCTCTCTCTAGAGGGTTCCCTCCCCTCAAAATAAGAATGTGTGCTCCACGCAAAGGCAGCTCTCAGATGAATCCTCTGCCCTCCATTCCACTCCTTCCTCCGGGCTGCGCCTCTAAGGCCTTCGTAGACAAAAATTCTAGAGTCTGCCCTGGCAGTGCCTATTATGTGCTGGACACCTTGGCTCCATTACTCCTCTGAAACCTCATAATCTCTTTACGAGGTTGGTATTTTCACCCTCACTTTACAGACAAGGAAACCGAGACTCGGAAAGACCAAAAATCTTGCCCCAAGAAAAGACGATTGGAACCCACATCTGTCTCCCCCAAAGCCTTGACATTCACACACACCGGGCTGAAGATAGGAAAACCACAGAAAGAAAGCTCAGCCCGTAGCTTCCGCGTCTGTGAAGGGGCCGTTTACAGTTCCCTCCCCACTCTCTCTGGTGGGATTTGGCTCCTCAAAGTCTGCATGCCTAGGGACTCCTGGGAGCAGCCTGTCTCCACAAACCAGGTCCAGGGAGGAGCTGGAAGAGAAAAGAGAAGGCAGCGTTTCTTATTTCCCACAGAAACTCCTAGGAATCACAGGCCTCTCCATGTAGAAGAGAGGAGCTGCACTTAGACCAGCTGGATGGAAGGAATGGAGAGGGGTTGCGGGGGTGGGGTATGGAGAGCTGCAGATTCCAGAACTACTTCTTCCCACCTACATTCCAAACTGCTCCCTCCAGCCTCCAAGGACTCTGTCCCAAGAAATTCCCCAGGGAAAGCATTTAGGGACTCAATTTTGAGTCTCCAATCTCTACCCTGGGAAGGTCCTTCCCAGTGTCCAATGCCCTTGCCCTCCTGTAGTCCTCTCTTGTTTGAGCATAAGAAAAACCTCTGCTCCTGGAGCTGATGGGAGTGTTGACACTCAGGAGAGGCCCATCTTTCTGGCAAGTCCATGACATGCCAGCAGCAGCAGTTTGAAAGAATGGAAATTAGGGATTTTGTTCCCAGCTCCCTTGTTAACTTGGAGCCTCTTAGTGCTGGTGTTGAAAGGTGCTAGAGCAACAGCACCTACTCATTAGTTTGAACTCCCAATTTGGAGGAAAGCCTCTTGGAGCATTGGGAAGAATTCAAACCCATACACAGCCTAGAGGTGTGTTATTAGTGCCCAGGAATGAGAGAGGCAATAGTTCCCTCTTTGTGGCCCTCCCAGCCTCCTTCTTAAATATTTGCAGTAACCCTGAGGTTGTTGGAAGAAATCAACAGGTAGCTGGCTTCAGGACTGAGATTCAACCTACATTTTAATCTCAAGGAGAATCTCATGTTATCTCAGGAATAAGCAGAGGGGAAAATGAGAGCCTTCACTTGGTTGAAGTCTTCAGTGTGCCTTGGAAGGGTGCTGCATTATGCTCTGGTCCAATTTCCTCTTTTTACAGATGAGCAAACTGAGGCCACAGAGAGAAGGGACCTGCCCCAAATCTGCAAGTTAGTGATAGAGCTGGAACTAGAACCCAGATCTCTTGATTCCCAGTCACCCAGGGCTTTGTCAATTACATCCCTTGTCTTTACATGTCATTTTCATACACTCACCTATTGCCTTGTATTATTACAAGATAGTTTCCTGTGTGTAAGTCTTGGTCTTCTGGTTATTTTATGGGCTTATTCAGACCCCCTTCTTGGCAGAAAACTCCTTTAATAACTAGGAGTGGATTTGATCTACTTTGGCATTTTTTCCAACCTATGATACCCTGTTTTCTTTCTCTGTGACTGAGTGGTCAGACATTTGATTTTGAAATTAAGGGTATTCAAACAATTTTTTATTCTTTTGGGGCTCTCTCTTGAGGAAAATCATAGGCATCTTCCAAACGGAGGGTCATTAAGGCCAAATTGCCTGTCACTACCTACCCCCTTGCCTTTCCATACAGGGAGGTGCCAGGAGGGTACCTTGCAAGTGGAAACCAAAAATTGATGATGGCTGATGGGGCAGTTTTCTGAGGCTGCCATAGGAAATGCTTACCATACCTTCCCTTGTCACCCCCATTCCCATGTATCTCATGAGGACTTTTACTTGGAACAGTATTGTAATTATTCACTTGCACATCTGTCCTCCCCTGCACCCCAATATGTACACTTCGAGCTTGAGCATTGAGTTTTAATCTTCTTCATCCTTTATCCCTAGAGCCCACCACAGTATAAGAGGGAACTCAATGAGTATGTACTGATCAAATGAATGAATGAATGAATGAATGAATGAATGATGATACCCATAGGGACTGTCTTAAGTTGTGGAAGTTTCATATAACAACAAGTAATAAAGAATGACACCTCGAAAGCAATCGTTGCTTACAAAATTGTATATAAATGGGTTAAGCAAAGGAGAATTAGTTATTCAAGGTAGGGCTTTTTAAGCCTCTGGCAAACTGCCAACTTGATAACCTTAGTGAGTTCAGGTGTATGGGACTGCTTTTCCTTCAATCACAGTTTCTTAACTTTGACACTATAATCCTGGGTATTAAATTTGGGCTTTCAACAAGGGGTGCCATGAGCTAAGCCCTTTTAACAAGAGCTATGCCCTCCCTTGGCATGGGAGGAAATAATGGGGTGGGAATAATGGGGACAGGGTAGAGAGACGGGAGCTGAATAATTTTTTGTTGTGTATCCTGTGCATTGTATGATGTCTAGCAGCATCTCTCCAAAGTTCTGACGACAGAAACATCTTCAGACATTACCAAATGTCCTCTGAGAGACAGGGAGGGCAAAATTGTCCCTGGTTAAGAATGATTGCCTTAAAGATTGTCATGTTTCAGGGGAGATGCATTAACAGGGCTAATAATCAGTGTTGTTTCTTGGACTCAGGGCAGCGGGGTTGGTGACAGGGAATCTGAGTCGGAGGATGGAAGCAGATGTACCTGATGAAACCTATTTCAAACCAGATAAAAAGACTTCCATGGGGAATAGCTTCCTTGGTCTTTTCCACCCTCCCTTCCCACTTTACCCCTCCTCTCCCTGTTCCTCCCCGGTTGATAGCTCGGAAATACAAAAACTCTACGTATGGGGTCTGGCACTTGGAAGCCTCCAGCATGTGCTGGTTCTGCCCCTTCCTGTAGTGCATCTGAATCCAGAGGCTGAAAGGCTTTATGGTGGCTCTGTGAGCAGAATTTTGGGAAGGCCTTCAAAGGCCACCCGAGGAGCTGGCTATTGATAACTTCAGAATAGGCTCACTGGGATTTTTGTAAAAAAAATCACTTTCTATTTTCTGAGGAAGTATTTGTGGATTTCTTTAAAAATTTTTACTATCCCTAAAATTAATGTGGATTATGATGATTATAAAGTTTTCTCCTTTTGAGTACTTACTTCACACCAAGCAGTCTACTAAGTCCTTCACAGCACTATCTGATTTAATTCTCACATCAATAATCAGTACCTCCATTGTGCAGGTGAGAACACTGAAGCCATTTGCTCAGGTCACCCAGTTGGTCATGGTGGCATGAAGACTCAAACACAGGTATTTTTAACCAGCGCATGCATCTGCTCCCATAGAGAGGCCTGCTCTGGTTTCCAGTCCCCAGGGGGCTGTCATAAAAGCCTCTCCTAAACCTCAAAAGAACATTAATTTCAGTTTAACTAGTTGCTTTATAAAACATAAAACAAATCTAATTGCTTATAAAACAAATGCTAAATTCTACACAGTATTTTTTTGATTAGCTTGGGGTCACAAAATCAAACAAACAGGAGATACACTTTCCAGACTGTCTAGGGGAGTTCTCTTGG